GAAACCCCTATCGGGTTCTGATAGGATGGAACCTCTTCGGCTCTTTTAGAGCCTATAAGGGTTTTGTCGTGCCTCTTGAAGCAGTCTCAGCACCAACTAAGAGGGCAAATAATATCTTTCGAATAGAGTGAATCACGTTCTACTAGACTCCGCCTCAGTTACCAGCTGCCGGAGGGTTAAAAAATCGATCTCTTTCTTTCTCGAGCAAGTCAGAATGTGCATACTGCTGTGCCTAATCCTGGAGACGTTTTCTCGATTCGCACTTAGATCTCACCAAATTTGATCCATTACCACATTATCTTAATGATAAGCTAGTCACTTATAAAACTGTGTGCCACGGCCAAATACACAGCTATCAATCTTGGACAAGTGAATAGTTCAGACTGGCGTGTCATTTGCCTGACAATAGGACGGGACCATAGGATTCAATATTCTAGATGACGATGTTGTTACGTGATAATTCTCAGGAACATAAACCAATAACCAATAACGAAATACAACACATCTAGTCGAGATTCCCGCTTGGTAGTTTCGGAATCTGGAAAAAGGTGGTACCTTCCAGATGCTTCCACCATCCCAACCACAAACAGCTTTGAGAAGCTCACCTTTGACCTTATGTTCCTCGCTTCCGTAGTTATCTCCGTTTCACACAAATCCAAATTACTCCATAAGTAACCTAATGAAATGGGCAACTACATTTGGAAAGTAAAACGTCTAACCAAGGTTTAAAATGTGATCCTAAAAACTAAATTGAAGAACTTTTATATTACGTTCAGATTTTTTATGGTCTGTTATTGAATCAGAGCTGATTGATCCATTCGTAACCTACAACCTAACCAACAGGAGAACCAAATTCCAGCTCAGGTACCAAAGCCCATACGTAAATCCAAACCCAAAATGTCCGACATCGAACTCATAAACATTTAAGTTCAAAAGTCGAAAAAAGCAAATATATCCAAAAACGCAGTAATATTAATAGTATTCAATGCAACGTTTTTTGATCAGTTAAATAATTTAAGTTCTTCTCACAGCATATTTGTCTTCTTTTTCTAACTTTTTTCTTTATAACGCAAAAATGAGTTTGTAGGGTCAGTGAAATGTCACTGGGCTCTAGCCAAATCATCCAGTAGTTTAGTAACATAATGTCTTCAAGGTCAACCAACACTTATCAGTCAATTCCACGTCAGGGAGTGGCTTATGCAGCAGTGATCGTAGTCTGTTTCTTGTACCTAATCTTAGTAATATATTCCTGTGGTGACGTTATTTATGTTGCACATCCATGGTACCTGGGTACGACGGAAAGGCGATCCACGTTAGGTACTAACCGTGGGGTGTGACTTCGACGTTAGTTGTTTGGTCACACCATTCCCGTCTAATTCTAGCGGGCTCCCAGTCATTTGACAGAGGTCATCTTCGTTAGTGGTTTGAAGGTTTATTTTTACCTGCACTCACATCTTAACTTTTTTCTCCAGGACGACAAGAAAGGACGAAAAACCGATGAAGAATATGATGGATGTAGATCTTAACGGTACATTTCTTATTACTATATCGTACCGCATTGCTCCTTATATTGTAGGAAGATCAGAGAATTCTGCTGGACATTGCGAAGTCTCAGAGGTATTTACCAGCGGCAAACCAATTGGGTGTGATATTATGGCTGGTCGCGTCTCAAGGTCTTCACGACGCCACTAGTAGCGATGAGTGGGTTGTAGTCATAAATAAACTGACTAGCGACTGTAGAAATTGAGCACAGCGTCCCCACTCATGATCTGATGAAAGCGCATGATCGAGCGCCTTCAGCTAGTTGAGTCCATTAAAACTAATGTGGTTGGCATCAAATGTCAAAGACTTACAGAGCCATTGATTTTGACGATTTATTTACCGCTACACTATAAATCCAGCATTTCATGATCTACGGCTTCGGATTTCTCTATGAAGTTTGTGGCTTTGTATGAACGCTCTATCGATCTAGAACTGATAGTGTTTGGTCACTATAAATGAAGGTAATGTTCGTTTTATAGAATTTTCCTTGAAAGAACGATAACTAAAAGTTAAACAGGGAAGGCCTTGAATTGCTTATATTTATTATACCTTTTGTAATTAGCCTTGACAATTATGTGCTATTTTGCACTTGATGTCCTTCGCTTACTTTATTGGATTAAAAGTGAAAGCAAAGTATCTAGAAAATTGCACCATAGGATTTTTCGGTTTTTGATTCACCAAAATTCGGCTTTATGACTCTCACTTATTGATTTTGGATAAATATTTTTGTGCTACGTTCTATTGACTGGTACATATTTGAAGATTGTCGCTGGACAGGAAGACGGAGTGAAGCATATCAATTACAAGTGAAAGTTCTGATTATTGTTTGCACGGGCTTAAGACTTATGATAAAGTTGTATTCCCTGGTTCTTCGTTCGTTTAGGTCTCAGGGATTAGCTGACAAACTCAGGGATGCACTCTGGGTGTTGATTGTTGTTCGTCAGTGAAGCATATACATCATGGCCATTTTATATTTTGACTTATCCATGTTCTTTGATACTGGGGGACTCAAACGCCTTAAGAAACTTTTTTCTTTTATTAGATCCTCTTTTATATCAGTTTAATATTTTCGGAATTAAAGGTTCCGACTATCCACTTGCAGTGTTTTTAGTGTTAATCCGTCAGTACAACTAACTGAAGACATGCTGAGGGGTTGGACCGAGCTCTTATAGAGATTAACGTTCCCCCAAAATAAATGACAGTAAACATTTGGCACTTATGTGGACTATACTTTTGCTGGACTTACAAGTAGTTAGAATACCGCTCGGGCAGTGAAATATCCCTTAGACATAACCAAATCTCAAAACAAGCAGACCGTTTCTACGTTAAAGGATTGATCGGTGAAATTTAAACAGTTTACTGAATATGGTCTAAGTCAAGGATGACTATCATGGACGGCTCAGTGTCATACAAGATGTTAGGAAATGCCAGTGATGGTTCCACATGCACTTCTTCATTCTCTTCACATCTGAATAAAATGTCTACGTCATAAGAATCTATTTATCCTGTAGGAATTTCAAAGATTCACTACTATTTGAGCATCACAATAAGGAAACCTAGACTGAATATTTATTGCGCAGTATGAGTTGATGTAAGTTAGACCGTCACAAAATCCCCGTTCAGCTCATTTGAACTTAACATATTATGGTATCTAATACAGACATACTAAATGAATATATTTGTTTCTTCATTTTGGAATATGGTTCCTAACAGAGCATGTGACGGTAAAATTTATGAGTTCACTACTATTGGTTAACTTGTGCTTAGGATTGCAATTTATTTAGATGCATTTCACGAGGAACTTCTCAATATTCTCATGTTTTCTGTCTATCTGTTTGTCATATTCCATTGCTATATTGATCCATAAATACTTAGGACGTGTTGAATGATTGACATTCTGGACGGTTTGAAATCATTACAATACACTGCGGATTTGATCAGTCTGACTCGGCTCCGGATTTATCGCACTACAATGCGGTTGCTAGATATTCTCTTGCCAACGCCAACATAAATCCAATTCCATCACAAACAGGTCATAATCTCGTGTTAATCTAATACTGCCATTATTTCAGTCCAGTTTTGCACAAACAACTTAATTATAGTCTTATTACCTATCACTGATAAATAAGCTGGCGAATTCGCTTACTGGAATATATAGAGGACATACGCAGTACTTGTATATAGTCTTCAATCATCCACCTGCATCTTGGAGTGTGTTCTGCAATCCAAGCTATTTTCTCGATTGGCTTTCAAGCTTTTTGGTTACGTTGTGGTTAGGATTTATTGAAGCTCTTCTTTCTGTCTGACGGCTATGACGACTTTGACGCCACACACCGCTACATGCTACTTACAGCAATTTCGAGAGTAGAATCTACCACAGTAGGAATGAATAATTGTTCTGAATTCAGTAACTCTTATCGTGAAAATAGCTTCGGCTTTATTTTTTTACTGAGAGCGGATATATGATAAATCCTCCACCGAAATCTTATTATCAAACCTCTTTATTCCTCCAGTCTGTTAAACTACTAGCGAAAGTATTTACACGCTTTCCTATTTAAAAACTATCCCAACTGCTCCTGATACAAATTGCTAAAAGACTCATAGTCGTTAGTTTTTGTTCAGTAACTGTTATAATACAATGTCAACTCGTTTCTTTATCTACGTATTTTATCAAACTCGTTGGTGAATATGAAAACTATTAATTCTTATTTAAGAAAACAAGTCCTAGGCTGGATAAATTTGAATCGTATTAGTGGTGTACTTTGGTGCACTGATTCAGTGCATGAATAAATAACAAACTTGAATAAATAACTAATGTTTTGATTTATCTAGTAAACAGGGTTTTTTAAGTATATTTCTGAAAAAATATATCGTTTCACACCATAAAAGTAACTTGTCAGAAAACCTTCTGTTTATATTTTATTGTTACGATTATGAAACTTGGGATTGCTTAAAAAGTAACAAGTTAATTTATCGGTCACTGTGATTCACGCACTACTATGCTGCATAGCGTCATTATATTTTCATATTATCCAAATCTATTAAGAAAACCAACTAATACAATTGATAAATGCAAGATATATGATATCTCGTTTGAATCATAAACCGATCTAAGTTAGGCAACCATTAAAAACCTGGAAGTACTGGAAGGCTGTTTCGTCCTAGTATGGGAATCCTCAGCAGTGGAAACCGACAACTCCGCAAGCGAAACCTCTCACAGAAACGTTTAACCTCTAGACCATTGAACCGACATCCAACGATATTAATGTCCAACTCTAGTGAATCCACAACATTGCGTGACCATCTTCCACCGTCTTTGGAGGTAGGTTCCTCACACCTGACACAGATTAGTTTCATTAACCATGGTTTCTCATGACCGGTTTGTTAATTTAAAGAAATTCAAAAATCTCCACAACCCTATACTGAAAATGATATTTACCATTTATATAAAACAAAACTTCATCTTTATAATTTATTATTCAGACATGTTAAATAATGAATAAATAGATGTATGGTAACATTTTTTGTTTGCATATGTGTGTAGACATTCACGTGTTTAAAACTATCTTCGTTTATGAATGAAATCTAGTTGGTGCTGGTAGCCCTAAAATGAACCTTTTATGTTGTCTATGTGATGGTGGTAAACCAAGTAGAAAACGTTTATATTCAACTTTAGGCGGTAGACCAAGTAGAAATCTTTTATCTTCATTGAATAAATCTTCATCAGAATCAATATAATCTGGTCTATAGCCATAGCCATACATTGGACGTCTGTAACGGTTAAATGTATATGAAGGTTGGCTTAACCTTTTAGGTGTTGGTAAAGCTAACAGAAAGCGTTTATCTGCACTGATATCTGAAGGATCATCATTTGAGTCCATGCAATTAATATAACTGGTTAATATTAGAAATCCAACAATCAAACAACAGAAGGGTTGAAACCAATAGTTAATCATATTAGTTGAATATTTTGTAAATAATATCTAAAAAGAAATATAAAAAGGATACATATACTGAAGACTGATATTTGACCAAATATTATGTATTATGTTTTAAGAACAGTTTAAATATGATGTGAAGTTATTAACAACATATTCATAGAATCTAAGCTGAAAGTAAGCGATGAATAAGTTTATTATGTCCGTTCAATCAACACAAGTCAACACAATTAGAAAAAAACCCAGCAAGAACATAATACTTAAATTGGTTTCATCACTTCAGGAAACTTTTCAACTTAACATAAATTTAGTAGACAACCAACCAATTAGGATTTATGTGTAGATAATTTCTATGTTGAAATTCAACAATGAAACAGACATTCCTAGTTGAACAAAACAAACATGTAAAATTTTTTTATTGATCGGTATCTAAAAAAATATATTATTCAACAAATCTCTAAGATAGGGGTTGTGGAGATTATTAAGTTTTTGATTGAGATCATGAACCGATTGATGTTAGACCACCACAATTGAAAACCTGAAAGCACTGGACGGTCGCTTCGTCCTATTGTGGGACTCCCCAGCAGTGCGCATCCACGATCCCGCGAGCGGGATTCGAACCCAGGGCCTTCGGTCTCGCGCGCGAACGCTTAACCAACTGGGCCACTGAGCCGGCATCCAATGGTGATAGTTTCTAACATCAACCAATCCACGAAATTGCGCGACCAACTTCCGTTGTACTGAGGTAGATACCTGTCTCTACCCGACAAGGATTAGCTCCACTGGTCACGGCTTCTCACTTAATAATCTCCACAACCCCTATACTAGTAATCAACATGTGCTCACTAGTGACTAGCTTCGTGAGGGAATTCTCGGAGTTCTAGTGAATAGTCTTCAAATGAACAATCTTAAAAATGAGGTATTTATCAAAAAGAATATGTGGATTTAAATAACAGAATTCTATATTAAATTAAACAAAGAGCCTCAGGTTATTTTATATAAATAAATGAAATGAATCAAACCATATCAATCAGTCAGCTACAACATAGGACCAGGCACATATGTGCATCGGTCCAAGTTGCCACACCTTATAACACAACAAGATGAACACCGGATTCATAAAAGTAGTTAATTCAATGGTGGTAATATATACAAGAAAGATTGCATATAAGGACATAGTACAGGAATAAAGAAAAATATGAATCGTTTTCAATCTTATAGTTTAAGGGAAGATAGATTGTGTATACACTTAAGTCATTATGATCGATTCTGAGCCATGTCACCTAGAGTCTCCAACCACTACTGGTTATGATAGTCGCACAAATCACAACCAAGTAGTCTGAATCTACCAACATGGCTCAGACCAGAAGTTAATGACTTCAAGCACTGGTGCGAAGTTTTGTTTTGTCCGCCACTAACTTTCTTCCAATTATCCCTTACACTAATCAGCATTATGCGTCGTGTTAATCGGTGTTCAGGCATACGTAACACATGGCCCAACCATTTCAGTCAATGAAGATTCACAGCTTCGTCAACTGATCTTATTGAAAAATTAACATTTCAAGTAAATAAAATTAAATTCTTCAATTTTAACTATTAAGAAATGTAAATGAAATAAATAAGACTTTTAACTTACAATTTGATACATCGACTACAAGTTAATACATTCGGTTAGTGTAAATAAAATAACTTGTATTTCGTTTTGTTTTTAGTTTATGAATGAAATTGATACATTCAACATGATATTAACTTAGAAATGAACAATATGAGTAGTATCTATATAGATAATAAAATTAATTTTGGTGTAATGGTATGAATGAAATGATGGTATATTGTTAAAGGTAATAAATATTTTAATCTTAATCATTAAATGAAAAACATTGTACTGATATGTATCCAATGATTTGTCATTGTAAAGAGGCAAAATATAAATACATTTTGTGATTATGTAATTGTCGATCTCAAAAGAAAGATATTCTTTTGGTTTTATGAAATAAATATTTATGTATTTCAGCTGGACAAAAACAATATTTTAGGCATGAATACCGGTGATACAATGAAATCATTTACTTATGTTGTACATTTGTATTTATAGTTATATGAAAAATATATGTCTATGACTTTTTTTCTTTGATAGGCCTGTTACTCCCAATGGAGCATAAGCCGCCGACCAGCATTCTTCAATCCAATCTACTCTGGGCCTTCCTTTCTAGTTCGATCCAATTGTTGTTCATTTTTCTCATGTCTGTCTTCATTTCTTGGTGTCATGTGTTGTTTGGTCTTCCTCTTTCCTTCGACCTTGAGGATTCCATGTGAAGGCTTGTCTTGTGACTCAGTTGGGTGCTTTCCTCAATTCGTGTGTCCTATCCACTTTCATCGCATATATGTCTATAGAAGGATAGAAACGATTACGATAGAGTTTTGTTCTCTGAGCTGGATGGTTTAGTCAGAGAACAAAACTCCATCAAAATTATCCACCTGAGCTACAAATCTTTTCTACCATCCCAGTAAAAATTGCATCATAAATTGATTCAAGACTCTTATTATCAAATTAGGTTACTCAATAATCAAGGAGTAAAAAGAAGAATATAAGGATAAAAATAATTTACAGGTCAGAATTATGAAAGATAATTGTTTCATTGACAGATATTGAAGAAGAGTGACAAACATAAAGGTCATTAATAAAAGCTGGATAATAATTGAGAAAACTTGTTTAAAAGGTAGTAATAACGGTTGACAGTTTAACATTACAAAATACTAATTTAAAAAATCGATAATGATAAGAAAAAGAAAAAACGAAAAAAATACATGGAAAAAAATATGGAAACATACTAGAAAAGGTAATTAGGGCCAAGGATGGATGAGAGGTTGGATGTATCGTTTTTACACACGAAGTTCGGGCTTGAGTTGGTGGATTTCCAATACCTCAATAGTGCATAAGATTTGATTCGAATTCACTTTGATCCAATTCTTTTGACTGTGATGGTTACTTTGAAAGAAGACTCCTTTTGGAGCAATATGTCCATAGTTGATTAAATGTTTCTGTATTGAACTAGTAATTGTTTTGCATTCTCCTTTTAAATGTCATGCCGGGTAGTGTTCTGAGATGCATTTAGAAAGTGATCGTTTTGTGCGGTCAATGTAGCTTTACCCACATGAGCAAGTTAATATATAAATGCACATTGATTTGACCCAAAGCGAAAGTTTATCATTAAGACATTCGTGAATGATAAGTCAGCTTGAGAACACAATTCAAAGCTTAGCTGAGTAGAATATTTTATTCATCGATTTTGAAATTCGTTTATTCAAGATTTCAGAAGCCGGTATCTCTTAAATTCCATATTCATAAAAAAAGTTTCCTTTTGTAATGTTGATGCTTTTTCCCGATGATATCTATGTGTTAAGTTACTATCGACAATAATAAGAGTCTCGAATCAATTTATGATGCAATCTTTTCTATCCTTCTATAGAGATATTTTTTTCATATAACTATAAATACGAATGTACAGTTTAAGTAAATGATTTCGTCAAAAGGAAAAGGTTTCTTTGCCAAATTCTGTTTATTTTTATTCAATGATACAATGGATTATTTTAATTATATATATATATATATATAACTCGCCCTCGCAACAAAAATCTGGTTCATATATGTTTCCACCCCTTCAAACCACTCTCCAGAAAATATTGATTTTTAAAAATAACATCAATTATTATTGCTATAAGATGAATAAATAAGACAACAATTTATTCAGTGATTACCTTTTTAATAACAATGAGCCCTAATGATCATGCTATCACTAATTTAGATTTAAACTCAAGCGTTGTTACAGACAAAGATAATTTGTTTTCTGGTATGCCATATGTCGGGGAAAGAAAGTGTTCAGCTAGACAAACTGCGTACACATTTCAATAACGTCTAGATCAATCCCTACTATTTTATTCATAATCATTTTAAAATTCATGGTACAAGTATTGCATAATGACGACCTTGAGTTGACTAATTAGAATTAAGAAAATACTCAATGATAATTGACAATAATCGATTCTAAAAATGCTTGAAATCTATTATGCAACCAAAAAGTGAATTTTAGGTGTTGCTTGAGATAAATTACACAACACACCTGCTCCTAAGGCAGATTGTGTGCGAAATTACTAGATGTTATTGAATGCATATTTAGGAGTGTTTAGCGACGCTAGGTAATATTCTTCTAAATGTCAATCCTAAGTTTCTTAAAGTTGTGAAAAGAAAATTGGTAAGGATTGCATTATAGCTGATGCTAGTTCATGATGGAAACCCTTACCTTTATTTATTAGATTAACTCAAAACCTCAGCAGAACTCTTAATACCTAATCCAAACCTTTTGCAATATAAATGATTTCATTTAGTGACCAAAACTCTGTGGAAAGATAACCCTAAGTAAAAAACATTAGCTGGACTCTTAACATGTATATGTAACCATTTTCTTATTCTATGAGGAGTAGTTTAACATTTAAGTTAATTATTCAAATCAAAGCTATTATACCACTGTTAGTTTATTTCTTTGTACTGATAATTGTTTTAAAACCAGGCAGCGTTTCTTAACTGGCTGATAATCCACTCATATTTGTCAGTATATTATGCTTTTATCAGAAGGCGTTTTGTGGAGATTTTAGAAATTTCACTGATTGAAATCATGAGTCAACTGAAGCTAGACCATCACTTTTATCAAATTTCTCATCAAGATACTGAGAAAACATAGTCGGAAGGAGAGGCTTCAAATAAAATCTCTCAACCGATTTTTCCTTATAAAATACTTTAATTCTAATAATCTCATATACTACCTTAACTAACTATTTTTATTGGGAATATTACTTTTTCTTGTACCAACTCTCTTAATTTATATGAAAAGAATTTTGGACACAGTTATATTTATCAGTCTTGACTACGACGCTTGAGATGTTTCTGTTTATTTGTGTACTCCTTTACGATTATTATTCGTTTGCAAGTTTCAGTAGCTACACATTATTTCAAACAATTAATGTTATTTAAAAGTTGCATTTTAACC